CCCCAAAACCCCAAAACCCCAAAACCCCTGGGTTCAATAATAAAGTTGATATTATATAAAATGGTATTATAAGCTCTTGGAAAAATTTATTCTAGTTATTTAGAGGAAATAAAAATAGGATTTTTCTTATTCCTAAGGATCTTAGAATGTTTTTAGGACTCTCATAGTATTTTGGAGACATATTTAGTTTCTAAGAATACTTGGGCTTATCAACTCTTGAAAATTTCTGTGAGATGCTGCATTGATAATTCAGAACTCATGTATCTTGGCACTATTTCTGCAATATAACCTCTGAGAACGATTATCTTGACTTCAGGTAAGCTCAAAACCAAGGAGCGCGAGCCGGAGCTGATAATCCAATCATAATAAAACTCAATAATATTGAAATGAAAGCTTTCCTGGCATCAAAAACTTGTATAAACCTTTAGTATTTATTAAAAACACAAGAGTTCCATACTTTCCATTGTCCGTGCCAAAAAATCAAATTCATCATAAAACTTGAAAAATTCGAAACTTCCAATTATTCGTAACTGTAATCCATAATTCACCTTAAAACTGAAGCTTGAATTGAAAGTTTCATTCGTAGCGCAATTATATAAAAATATCCTGTTGACTAATTCCTTTACTTTTAATCATACCACTATCAAGACTAGAAAGAAGCTTCGTGTAAACCTTAATTCTGAATAACAGAATAACCTATTTTAACTTGACTTTTAGGTGGCTTAATGCTATGTTTGAGCCGATAGTGTAGAAAGTAGATCACCAAAATTATCTTTCGAAACTATTCGAAACTATTAATAACTGTAAAGTTTGAAATCGATTTAAAAATTTATCCGCGGAAGTATTTAGCTATGTTAATGAATTTTTCATAATACTGCCGAGGTGATGGGAGAAGAATTGGATTTAAAACACTTACAGAATGAATAATTCAATAGGTAGAGTGGTAAGCACACTACAAATATAAACAGAGATAATATTATGAATTATTCAGGTATAATTCTGCTAAATAGTTGTTCGATTTAATCAAGGTGAATTTCAAATACCTTATATCCTCAGATTTCACGATGATGAAGTTTATGCTAGTTAAAATGCACGCTCCATAAAGCTGGGCTTGCTGAGAATATTGTTCAACTGAAGACTCCTTCTTTTAATCCATACATAAAGCTATAATGAGCTTCTTTTTAATAACTCTCCAATTAAGCCCTATTCTATTCAAACAATGAAAATGTCGATATGGTTATTAAATTTCCCAAGATTCTAAGAGTTATTGACCAACACAAGGTTATGGTGAATTATTAATATTAATAAAGTTATGTTTCAAAGCAGCCAGGAGCATCGATGTCGCTCATGGTCACTGTCTTTTTGAAGTTACTGGAGACTTTTTGAGTTAAGACTTCAGATTTTTTCATATAACCTTTCGATTCAGAGACTCTCTTGGGTAGATTTTCGACTTTAGTTATAGGACGAGACAAGCCTTTGATTTCAGTCTTTTTCTTGATTATCCTCCTTGGTCTGTTGTACTTTTTGAAAATAGGATGCTTCTGAGTTTCTAGGACAGCATCGTCCATTGATGGAAAAGAACTCCTAGTATTGGCTTTTAAGCATGGCTGAGCTTTGAGCTTGCGAGTCATTTCATAACTAAAATGGAATTGGTTTCCAGTCATGTTCTTCTCCAAATTTGGAGAAGTGTTTATTGAAGAGGCAGATACATTTTCATCAACAAACTCTTCACTCAAATTTTCATCAAAAATAGGAAAATTCATCATTTTTATTATTTATATATACCAAGGCCTCCGTCCTTATATGGGGTTTTGGGGTTTTGGGGTTTTGGGG